ACTTTAAAACAAAGTTACGTGAAAATGAACATTTTGACTTAATGCTGCTACTTGCATTTGGTTATTTTTGTTGAAATGAAAATTCAAAATGTTTTACAAAAGCTATCATTTGACATAACTACAACTTTCATTCAGGTGTCTGATGCAAAAAAGGTCAATCATTTTTGTAAATATTATAAACGGACCAGTCTTAGCTTCTTTTATCAAATAAGTGATCTTCTTTACGACATTAATTAATTCATAGACTAGTTTACAGATGGCACGAAAAGAATTGAGCAAATAATTGAAAAAAACACAACGCGCCATGGTAGCAAAAACGAGTTGGCGAGATGCAAGCCATTGGTACAGGTAGAATTTAAAAAAAATCAATTTGCCGTTTTAGGTTAACCTCGCACGGCAAAACGGACAGACGGACAAGCTAAAGTATGTTTGAAATATGTCGGAACGGTTGCTTGATGCCATTATTTCTTGTTCAGGTTCGAATATTGGATATCTGGCATCCAAGTAACTGAGGATTTAACTGCAAATGTCTGTTTATGTTTTGGTTTTCACCTTAATCGACTGTAATAATTTGTTTTGATAATAAAGTGATTTAAAACATAAATATTGTATACCCCCCTCACCAAATAACTGCACATGAGTTGAACACTGTTTGGGTGTACTGGGCTTGACGTATATGGAATGAGAACTTAAATATATATAAGTACATGTTTACAGTTTTTAAAGTATTTTTCATGATCAAGTATTACACAATCAACACACCACACTTCATACTTCACAAGTCTCTTAAAATCAATTTATGGACGTCCACTTGTACTGGAAGTTTTACATTCCAAGTAACAGAGAACGTTTTTGCAAATGTCTGATTTTGCTTGCAGTGCCTAGCCGTTTGTTGTTTTTTTGGGGTGGATCTTTTTACTTGTGTGTATCGCACATGAACAGTAACCTTTCTCGGTGCATGTATCCCTGCATTTTATCAAATTTTAATGCGTTATAGATTAATATTTTTCTCCATTATTTCGGTTATTGATTAAAATAGTTATATTTAAATGCCCCACACCACGTTTAACCGTAGCCTTATGATTAATGTATAATGTTGATTATGTTTTATTTGTCAACTGATATGCGATTTATTTGACATGTGTACTATAAATCTTTAAAAGAAAGAGTGAAATACGATATTTTTCTATACCGTTGTTTATAACATTCTCTTCTCGGGGGATATTGGTACATATCCAAAATGTCATTTCATACATAATTCATAACTTCCGCTGGTTTCCAATGTTAAAAGTATCAGACCTACAAATGGTCAAAAGGTCGTTGTTAGGAAACTTAGCTTTACGGTCTCTGTCTATATTTTTATTGCGGGTCATTTTTTATGAAGAATGCTATGGCATCAACTTGTAATTTACGTTGAAATCATTCTCGAATTTGAAGATACAAGAAAATAAAATAAAAAGGCTCATTTACAAATTAAATGTTCTGATTTAAACATACAGATTTCGATAAAAATGTCGTTTTTAACAAGTTCTGATGGATTGTAGTGCATTGAAATAACGTAATCTTTTATTTTATTTTATTTTTCATTCCTATACCATGTATTAATATTTTGTGTGCAATTTGAAACCATTGACGATGCATTTTTTTTCATTGTTGCGTCCAGTATCATGCCGTCCTTGCGGATTTTTTACCTAAACTGACGACGCACAATTTAATGATTAAAAAGATCAGACATCCAGCAGACTGCCGACCTCGGCTTTATTTTTTCCCCCAATATCGGAACAACTGTCGCCCAGTGAAACATTTATCTGAATACATGCTTGATAGCGTTTCTTTCATTATATTTTTTTCTTATTTTTATTATTATTTATTATTATTTATTAATTTATTTATTTATTTTGCAGCTGACTCTCTCGTGAACTGGCACTTTGGAAGATTTATCATAAATTCAGAAACATCTCTTTAAATGTATAACCTATTTTGGCTTTTCTCTTTCCAGAACTTTTATAATAAGTGAAATTAATCTACGCTTTATACATGTACCAATGTTTTTTTAAAACTTTTTTACTTTAACTCAATGCTTTTTAAAACTCGGTTTTCTAAAACTTACAAAAGTGATATAAATAAAAAAAGAAGAAAAAAATCTTACTCAAGGTCTGTTTTTTCTCTCGGACCGATATTATTGTCCGTCATGTTTCACTTTTAATCCAGCCGAACTGTCACCGACACACAGACGCGATCCGAACTGCTATCGGATAGCAACTCGGTAAAGTAGACTAAAATTGTTAATCTTTAATCCGCATGGTTAGCGACCAGACATGGGCTATAAATACCGTGTATCTCTCTGTGCAATAGTATTTAAACTTGTGTATACTCAGCGGAAATTAATAATTTATAACCAATATGTATATTAATGTAATTGTGTTATTTCTATTCTACATGTACCAACCGATTATTATTTCTTTTCAGATAAAAATTATTGTGTTTTTTTATTCATTCTTATGTCACTAATATTTGCATGTTATAAATTATTATCACTCCCTATACAATATGATTTATCAGCATTTAAAAAAAAAAAAGCTTAAGTGAAATACAACAAGAATATTCTGTAGTTCTACAGTAACCCTCGCCCCATGCCTTTAAATACTGTATATGAATATGTAAATGTCATTGACAGTTGATTTGCGATATAAGTTAATTATTATAATTATTATTATTATTATTTTTATTATTATCAATTGATTGATTGATTGATTGATTTATTTATTTATTTATTTATTTATTTATTTATTTATTTATTTATTTATTTATTATTATTATAATAATTATTGATTGATTAGTTGATTTTAGTTGATTTATTTGTTGGTTGATTGATTTATTGGTGGCTGGCTGGCTCACTTTCTTGCTTGCTTGATTGATTATTTTATACAGTACATTTAATTGTTCACTCTCTGTATGTATGTGTGAACGTGTACATGTACATACCTACATGTGATATTTTCTGGCTTATTATTATTATCATCATCATTATCATCATCATCACCATCATCATTGGATTGAACCATGTCAATAACAACGCTATATTCTAATTACATTTGGTTTGAACTACATGGAAATAGATAATTCTCCTTCGTCGAAAATGGTATTATTCTAAGAACAGAGCGTTCAAAAAATCTAAAAAGTTCAGTCGCATAATTTCGGCCTCCGTTTGAGAGATAAACATCAAATGTATATTAAAGATAAATTGGACATATTGGCAAGGCACTGTTGGCATAGAAAACATTTCTCGAATACACGTGCCGCTATTGCAACTCCATAAAAACGGTATTGCACGGCCGTTTAATTTTTGCTGTTTTGAGCGTTCTTTAGGGATTCCGTTTTTGTGTCGCCTCTACGGAGTAGTGGCGACATATAGGGATCACTTCTCCGTCGTCTGTCTGTCTGTCCATCCGTCCGTCACAAAACTTGTCCGGACTACTCCTCATAAACTACTGGTGCAATTTCATCCAAACTTTACAGGAATGATCAGTACCAAGTCTAGTTGTGCATATTGTCAGCATTTTCCGGTTCAATGATTTTTGTCAGTTATGGCCCTTTAATAATTTTTAATTTTAAAGTTTGTCCGGACTACTTCTCTTATACCACTAATGCAATTTCAATGAAACTTTACATGATTGATCTGTAGCTCAAGTCCTTGCGCATATTGCACGGGTTTTCCGGTTGATTGATTTTTGGCCGAGTTATGGCCCTTTGATAAAAAGGTTTCTTTTTCTGTGTGTTGCCAGATACACAAAAGCTTGTCCGGACTACTCCTCATAAACTACTGGTGCAATTTCATCCAAACTTTACAGGAATGATCAGTACCAAGTCTAGTTGTGCATATTGTCAGCATTTTCCGGTTCAATGATTTTTGTTTGAGTTATGGCCCTTTAATAATTTTTATTTTTAAAGTTTGTCCGGACTACTTCTCTTATACCACTAATGCAATTTCAATGAAACTTTACAGGATTGATCTGTAGCTCAAGTCCTTGCGCACATTGCACGGGTTTTCCGGTTGAATGATTTTGGCCGAGTTATGGCCCTTTGATAAAAAGGTGTTTTTTCTGTGTGTTGCCAGATACGCAAAAGCTTGTCCGGACTACTCCTCATAAACTACTGGTGCAATTTTATCCAAACTTTACAGGAATGATCAGTACCAAGTCTAGTTGTGCACTGTCCGTCTGTCTGTCCGTCTGTCACAAAATTTGTCCCAACATGAAATTGGCCATCATGAGGCGACACATGTGATTACTGATCGCTCTTGTTCTCTTTTTGACGTCATTTGCGTTATACAAACATATAAAAACGCGATAAATGTCTTTTGGGTTTGTGATAAATATAATAAAAATGTATTATATTCGCGTAGATTCAATACTAAATTTATTGAACGAGTTGATTTTAAGCGTACATGCGAGCCTCCGGTATTGAACCCACATTCATTCGTCGAAAAAAAAAACATAAGATTTTGCAACATTATGCGAAAAGCCCAAACAGACTCATATTTTTCGCGCAATTTAAACTAAACATTAAGGTTTAAATGGGGAAAAAGACTCGAAACATTACCTTATTTGTTCAATCCTTCCTGAAGGCTTTGTAGACTTCCTGGGTGAAGACATAGATGCTCTCGATATCTGACTTTTCCATTTATTTGAAAGAGATGGCAAATTATACCGAGTCAATCTTGTTAAAAAATCATTACTCGTTTGCACGTGTTTAAGATCAGTAAGTGTTGAATATGTGCTATAATTCGGTCCACATATCTTTGAAACATTTGTGCTCGTACTTTTCGGCATCGAATCATGAAATCGGCAGTTGTAGATCTGAAAACCGAGAGGACATCTTGCATTCCAACCAAGGTCCCTCTCAAGCATTATGCTCAGAGTATGCCCTTACTCAATTAATTTCTTAATTATCTGAAAAACTCATTTACTATATAAGGCATAAATCTTGTTTAAATCTTACCCGAACAGATAGTTACAACGTTTTGACGCTAGTTACTACGTTCCAAGAATTCAACGTTAACTACGTCATTGACTACATTAAGTGACGTAATTATGTCCAAACTTAAGCGGTGCGGTTAAAACGTTAAATAGCAATACAAAAATAATGTTCAATAATTTATACATCGTCATTGTCATACAAATTATTATTGTCATTTCAAAACTTATGTTTTCAAATATAACAAAACCTGTTGAGAAATGAAATGTGTGTCTAAGGGAGACACATCTTCAGTGCATAAAACAATAAACTGCTGTGATATGGTTTGTGGAGTTGTCCCACATATTGTCCCACCGGAATATTGAAATGTTGATAAAAAATATATACATTTAAAACGCCCGTGCAGTTTTTGAGGCAAGCTATGGAAAAAAATAATGAATTGAAAACGGTAGTTTTATATATTAATACATGTATACATCTTGATAAATAAATATCAATAACACTTATTTTGAAACTCTAAATATCAATATAAATGAATATTTGGAGGGTTAGAAGTAGGCCTAAAGGTAAAAAAATATTAGAAAGGTTTATGCGAGATGTTGGACTCTCGGAATATTGAAAAGTTCATAAAAATATATACATTTAAAACGCCCGTGCAGATTTTGAGGCAAGCTATGGAAAAAATAATGAATTGAAAATCACAATATCGTCAGGGTGCTGAGCAGTTTTTTCGACAATATTTACTGAACTTTCAATACCAGTAACACTGTACTTGTGTATTACCAAAATACATTTTTTTATTTGAAATATTTCCTGGATTTTCCTTTGTTACTCGTCTGCTAGACTGCGACTAAATTATTTTCAGTAATGTATCGAACAATCATTCGCACATTTTGATTTTCTTTGTGCATTGTCATGACTGTTGTATTTTTAAAAAAAAAAAAAAAAACACAAACAAACGCAGTCCGGTGGTGTTTAAATGTAATCCTATTGTGTTCATCTCTATCTGGATCTCTTAATGAATTAATTTGAGCCGTGTCACGACAAAACCAACATAATGGGTTTGCGACCAGCATGGATCCAGACCAGCAAGCGCATCCGCGCAGTCTGATCAGGATCCATGCTGTTCGCTTACCAACCCTATTACAAGTAGAGAAACAAATAGCGAACAGCATGGATCCTGATCAGACTGCGCAGATGCGCAGGCTGGTCTGGATCCATGCTGGTCGCAAACGCATAACGTTGGTTTTGTCGTGACACGGCTCATTTATGTTCGTTTTGTTCATTGCAGGTTGAAGAAATTACCAAATTAAATTGTTGAAAGCACACTTATCTTCAAACCGGAATAAACTTTTACTTCCTTTGAAAGGGTAAACATGTGTTTAATAATGTTTTAATAATGGATAGATGTTAACTTACAAACCTTTAGACATTCAATAATGTATCATATAGATAGTAAAATGTTAACAAAGTGGCGGTTTTACTTCCATACCAAATAGTAAAATCACATTAACTATACCGTACCAATAGTCAGAAAGAAGAAGAAAAAAAAAGTTAATCTATATGGCTATGAGTACGTTTTTGGGACACAAAAAAACCCACAGCATTTTTAAGAGATAAAAATTATAGCATTTTTTAAGGCTTTATACATATGTCTAATACTACAGCAAACTGAGCTCATTTGATTGCTTGGTGTTTAATCAAGACAACTTCCTAATCATCTTTATACGATTGTGAATCAACGACGACGACGACGACAACAACAACAAAAAAAACGACCTCCGCTTATTCACCCGGAAACACAAATAAGCCTATAAGATTAAAAGCGAACATGTTTTGGTGATCCATATAATAGGAAATTAACATGCAGGTGGGGGAGGGGGTGGAGATAGTGATGACATGAAACGCGATACAATAACATTAAAGCCGATATACATGTATATTTAACCCAAGCACATATTTGATCATCCAAAAAGGTTGCTTTTTTGTGTCAAAATATAAATCATGCAGCAGACGAGAAATTACAAGTGCGAGGAGTTATATTTTATGTGTTTTTTAAATTACGTTTTATCAATTTTAGCCATATTTTTCAATTTACAATTATAAGGAAATTCTATTCAACATCGACCTTCATTCGTAAAACTAAATTTATCCAAACGTGATGCACTTTCTGTTTAAAAAATTCGTACCGATTGAACTGTTTGACTGACACATGGTGCAACAGACGAACACTGAAAACTGATTAAAGTCGTTTAATGATTATTTAAGTGAACGAAATTATGTTTTGAAATCAAAACGTTGCATGGATGTAACATTTTGCTTAATATTTAATTACAGTGAATGACGTTTTACATCCGGTTTTGTAGGAATTTCTGAAGAGTACTTTCGGTTTTAAAGAATCTCTTAACCGTACGTACTTTTGGTTTGACAAGTGGCAGAAGCATGGAGATTGTGGTAATATATTTAATACCTTATAACCAAATGTTTATTTACTTTATACATATTTTGTTTTGGTAAGCAATATTCTCAGGCAAAGCAATGCATTTCGCGCACAATATAAATAATAAAACGGTTATAGTTACCATAAATTATTATGTTTGTAATATAAATCCGTGAAGAGTCTTTATAAATAGTGTTATAAATATTATAACACAGCACTTGTTCGGATTATTGTTTTCTGATGAAAGACATTCAAAGGCTCATTAAAGCTACTCTCCCACACAAAACAGTCTAAAACATCAACATATCTGTTTACAGTATTTAAATATTACGGTGGCATGGAGGGGACATCAGATATATTTTATGTATCACGTGCGCACGCGATAGCTACTACTTGCGCACGCGATAGTGACTGTGCGCACTTAATAGCTGCTACGTTGGGCACACAATAGCTACTACGTGCACACGCGATAGCTCCTACGTTGGTCAATCATTAAGTGCGCACGTAATAGCTATTGCATGCTCTCATAATAGCTTGTATGTGGGCACGTAGTAGCTATCGCGTACGTACGTGGTAGTTATGGCGTGCACACGTGGTAGCTATCGCGTGGGCACGTAGTAGCTATCGCGTGCGCACGTGGTAGATATAATATTTAAGATGGCCCCTTTATGCCACCGTAAAATATGCATAGTAGTAAAATTTGCAGTTTTCACGAGTTTCACTTCACGCAGTTTTATCACACCCGTGAACATGTTGCGAGTAGGACAGTTAGATGCAGGTATAAACCGGGTTCCCGATAAATGTTCTTTTTTTGTATTTTTTGTCTCCTTTTAGAGACATAATATTCCATAATATATTGTGCAGCAACCGACTGCAGGATAAAAAGAACACCCAGTGCAAAACTGTTCTACCCTCAACCAACGGATCTAAATGCAACCAATTAACGAATAGGTGCATATATTTTATTTACAAAATAAAACGTTGCAACAGTTTAAAATTACAGGACCATAAACATAGCCAAAACTTTATTTTTTATAATCATCTAGTTCCATATAAATGTACGAACTTGTGGTAAAACTTTATCTTTCGATGACATTTTATTTCATAAAAGCCCAAACCACAATATGCGGGATAGTAGCTCAAAGCCTAAAAAAAGACAAAATTCATTTTTTCAAAAGCTTTTAATTTTTGGTGTCCTGAAACATATTCAAAAAAGTTACTCATTGCCCTTATTTGTGAGCCATTTTTTGTTGTTGTTGTTTCTTTTGTGATTTGGTAATTAGAACAGATATAGTGAATTTATATTTTGCATTGAAATCAAAATACCAATTTGTTTACATTTTACTTCCTTTATGACACTTCATTTCTCATTCAACGGTATTTTCTTCAGGCTATAATCATCTCATATATATTCTAAATCCATTAATACAACATTATTGAACTCATCTGTTCCCTTTTTACAGAATGAAAAATTCATTCATTTAGAGGCATAATGTGCCTATAGGTTTTGCATATATTTTTTTTTGTTTTTAATCGAATTCTAGCTTCAGAATTAATTATCTTTCTCATTTATTTCAGCTTGGATGCCACATACATTTACAGTTTTATTTGATATTCAGCCTTTTTGGAAGTGTGGGTTCACCATTACATATGTATGAACAACTTCTTTCTAGTGGACATATTGAAAAGGCAATACAAGCCCCGGTTGGTGGCTTCTCTCTGCCCAGTGGCATGGCGATTCATCATGACTTCAAAGACGCAAAGATGCACGATTCTGTTGAACTGCTGAGAATAATGTTTGACCAGATGGCGACTAAATTCTACAAAGCAGTAGTGTTAGATGGGAGTGATCTGTTGAATCACCATAAAAATATTTTTTCGGCTACGTCCGTCTCTGAACTCGACGTTAATCGTATGTCTGTTACGTTACGTGGAGCTAAACGTTCATTTAAAGGAGTGGAAGATAACATGATAGGGCTGCAATCCGAGGTGCACTACCTTATTGAAAGTGTTAGGAGTAGAATCCTTGAACTTAAAGACGAAATTAAAAGTTTCGAGGACAAACAGGAATCAATGGAACAGGAAATAGCAATGATGGAAACAGAAATACAAGAAAGTGATTCAAGCGCTCGTGAATATGACAGGTATGCCGATGACATGGATTTTCTTGCTCGTAAAAAGAATAGAGAAGCCGAGGAAGCTGCTAAGTGGGGAATTGGAGAGTTAGCAGCAGCTGGCGCAGTGGCGGTTGGTATTTTTACTGGCGGACTGCCTCTTCTTGCAGCCATTCCCGGTGTTGTGCTTGGGGGCGCCGGTCTTAAAAACGTAAAAGATCATATGTATTATGACGGACAAGCGGCAAATTATAGACATGATGCTTATATATATAGGATAAGGGCAAATGGACTACGCGAGAATGTTAAAATGATAAAGAGAAATATAAGTAATTTAAAATTGGAAGCTATCCATGTTAGACATGAGCTTCAACAGCTTGAGTATGCATTGCGAAGAGTGAACGACCTGTCTAATTCGTTACACGGTTCAGTCAAAGGTACATACGAGGTAGTTTCCATGCTGCAAAATATGGAAATTGCAATTGCAAATGCTGAACTTGATACACAATCTATCATTGAAAGGTTTAAATACATTCCAAATGTTATTAAAAGGGCATCTGATTCCATGCTTAAAAATACAAAGAGTGCTTGGATCAGTATCCAAGAAACTTCTTAAGTTGAAGCAAAATCTTCTAACTTGAACGCTCTGCAACATATTACAATTTCACTAGAGTGTTCTATTATTTTATCTAAATACTAGCGTTGATTTACCTCATTATATAAGATATAACTGCCGTTCCATTAAAAATCAACATTTACTTAAATTCAAAATGTGATCACTTTTAATATTATTAACGTTACATTATACGGTTTCTTGGTAATAATTACATTATACGGCTTCTTGGTAATATTTACGTTATACGTTTATATTTACATTATATGGTGATGAAACTGTTGCTGCGTTTTCAATTGTTTTCTTTCCTTTAAAGACCTTCCTGACTTTAGCATATTCATTCTATTGTAATGCATACATACCCGTAATTCCATTAAAAATCTTGACATTATCTTAGTTTCATATTATGCTTATGTCAGTTTTCCTAGAAATGTTTGTTTTGTTAACTCGACTTTTTTCCGAACAAAACAATAGAGGTATTATTACAGTCATGTCGGCGTTCCCGTTGCTGTCCGCAAACTTTAAACATGATCATGACATTTTAATTTCTTGGTGTATTGTCTTTATGCTTCATTACAACAACCCTTAGAACAAGACCTTCAAGTAGTTCAGACTAAACTTGATCTTAATTCATAAATGGCCTTGACCTTCATGGTCAAATGTCTAAATGTTTCTGTTTTTTGTTGTTGTTTTTTTTGCTGATTTTCGCTTAAAGTGGCTATTACTTTGTTATTTTTAAATGGATTGTCTTCAAATTTGAACACAACAATTTTAGGATAAACATTCAAGTTAACCAGACTAGCAATAACAAAAGTTATCACAAGAACTCCAGGACATTTGAAAATCGAGTATAAATCTGTTAGCCTGTGCTTTTTGTTTACAATTTGCATTATTATTAGGTAATTATGTATGGCAAGGATGAAGACCAGAAATAAACAGGTCAATACTTGTGAATTGGCAAAGTTGGAAATTTTACTAAAAACTACCATATTTTAAGCAAGAGGCGATGAAAAACGGCCTATAAATTAGTTTTTGACACATAATACAAGATGTATAACAAGCTTAATCATTAAAGTTTAATTAAGCTCCTAAAATTCATTTTTGAAAGTTGAAAATAAGCATTTCTGACGAGTGTTTTTGTAGTATATACAAATGTTTTCCGACGGTATCAGAATTTTGAGGATGCGCGCGCATGGTATGACCCACTTGATTCAATAGTATTCTGAAAGTCCTGATCATAGTGATATATGTAGTTTACTGTGAGTTAAGTTAATAGTGCCATGATGTGTAACGTTCTTAAACGTAGTAAGTATTGTGCAGTGACTAACAATGAATAAATTCTATTATATAGTTTTCAATGTGCTGTTTGTTTATGAGTGACTGTAACAGGCTTTAAACTGGACTTCTTTCAAGTCTGATTGCCCCTTTTTCATTCATATTGACTTGCAAATGTAAACAAGTCCTATAAAGTATATACATGTATATGAATCAGTTAACCTACATGAATGAATCATGTGACATAAAATCGTGCCATGGGATAACCAACATACAATTAATTGAAATATGAGCCGTGCCATAACAAAACCAACATGGTGCATTTGCAACCAGCATGGATCCAGACCAGCCTGCGCATCCGCGCAGTCTGATCAGGATCCATGCTGTTCGCTATCAGTTTCTCTACTTGTTATAGGGTTCGTAAGCGAACAGCATGGATCCTGATCAGACTGCACGGATACGCAGGCTGGTCTGGATTCATGCTGGTCGCAAACGCACCATGTTGGTTTTGTCATGGTGCGGCTCATATATGAAACAGCATAACTTTAACCGAATACGGTTTTAAAGTTATGGTCTCCGGCCTAGAAAGAGCATAGGTGTAAAGTTAGTTTTTTTTTTTTAAAGCATACTTGCAAAATGAAAGCATAAAAATGAAAATGGACTGATGCAAGTATACGAATCTAGCAATGAACCTATCCAAAATTAAATTATGACTATCAATTTTCACTATTTTTGCACTCAGAATAAGACATGATATTATATATTCGAAAAAAATGCATCTTTTGTTTACTGGTCTACTGATCCGGTCTTTAATTTGTGCAAGATGCCAAAGCAAGTCAGGTGGATAATTCATTTAAATGATATTGAACAGAAAATGGAGTTACTTCCCTTGGATTATGAACTAGAGATAATTTTTATAATAAATGACAGATTAAGGCCGATACGTATATAAAACGTTTACGGGGTCTTGTATTCTTGCAGTGTCTGTCTTGGGGTGTCATGAAAATAAATATATGCAGACTGATGGTCAATACGACACATAAAGCTACTTGTGATCTCATCACATATTTAGCTACTAGCTAAATTATGTGATTGGAGTTAGTTGTGTCAATATCATGTTTCAGTTAAAAAACCTACATATTTTTTGTTTTATAATACTGCACGTTTGTAACGTCATTTTTCATTGGATAATCGTGACGTTTATATAGTTTTATATACACGGCTGCTGTCGATTCATGAAGAAATCTTACTTTTTTCCTCCACAAAATGATGCTTGCTGTATTATAAATTCGTTATAAAGATTGCTGACAGGTTATATGGCCGTATATAAACGGCTGTTTGCAATATAACGCTCGCCTAACGGCTCGGGTTATATTTACAAATAGCCGTTTATATAGGGCCATATAACCTGTCTACGATCTTTATAACTAATAATATAAATGGTTGTTTGAAATAAAACCCGAGTCGCTAGGCGATGGTTATATTGCAAACAACCGTTTTTATACGGCCAAAATAACCTGTCAGTAATATTTATAACGAATTTATAATACAGCAAGCATCATTTTTAGTGATAAAAGCGAGATTTCTTCATAAATCGACAGCAGCCGTGTACATAAATTATAAAACTATATAAATGTCACAATTATTCAATGAAAGGCGACGTTACAAATGTGCATTATTATAATTAGTAATATATACTTTATAATGATTTTTTTCATTTTCTTTTTTTCGAATTTTTTTTTTTCAATGTTAAGATAATGTTTAACTTTAGTTTACTAATTTAAAATCTTTTTTTTTTTATATTGAATCAAATTGAGCAGTGATTTGATGGTTAAGGTGTTCTGCCTCTCAACTCAGGGATCATGGGTCCGAGTCTTTTTGCAGTCATTACCATGTGTTTTCATTTGACACTAATATTGAGAAGTTCCGGAATACGGAAATGTAACACGTTTTCTTCATAATCGAGATTAAGCAAATAACGTGTTGAAATACCAATTTTGCTCCAATTTTGCAACAATAACAATATTTCAGTTGGGAAAATTTTATCTTACAGCACGTTCCTGTTCGGTTCTCAGTTATAACGCCTTTCCGATGGTTCTGTCTTATGTAATAAAAATGAACTACATGATGATATTACAGAAACCTCAATGTATATACCACCAATAAACCTCCCACAGCAAAGAATAAATAACAGAGCAGGAGATTAAAATTTCTAAAAGAACGCTAATAATAATAATAATGACATTTTGCCACTTCATACTTACAAAATAACTTCTTTACTTCTCATGGAATATATGCATAATTACAATACACATTTGGTGTAAATACATACATAAGCGTTGAAAAATTAACTTTTGCATGTCAGAATTGAAGATTTTTTTCTCTCCCAGGGATGAGACTGACACGTAGCAGATGATTCACAATTTCTTTTAGGATAGGAGTTTTCATCACCTTTTGAGAGATTTTATTAAGTGTAAAGTCATTATTTTTGAAAATTTTAAAATTTGAGTCAAAGATGTCGTTATCATTGTTCATTTTAAAGCTTTACGTGCTGCAACGCAAATGTATCCTAATTTACCAGGTTCTGTTTATGTTGCCACCGAACCTGCCTGTCTCTTTGAAGTTAAGCGGTTAACTTTGCCCTTTTTATGCCATGAACGCTTGATAATTTACTGAAATTTATTTTTTTATTAAAATGAACTTGCAGAAATTCTACATGAGCATGACATTTAATTTTGGAATTAGACCTTTCACATTCATAGTCGAGAATGAAATAAGATATCATGTCACAAAATAATTATTTAAAGGCACATCATACCTCAGAAATCCTTTTTTATTAAATTCTTTAGAAATATTACACACATGTTAAATAATGTTTTAATAATGGATTTAGAACATGTAAAATAATTAACAGCTGAAGAAAGTAGTGCTGAATATGCAGTAATGTGTCGTAAAGGTAGCAAAATGTAAACAAATAGTATTTTGACTTCCATACAAAATACTAATTCATTATAATTATACCAATTGCCAGCAAAGCAAAAGATGCAAAGATAGTTCATTTATATGGCAAATAAGTATTTTTTGTGGAACTTGTAACAAGACACCAAATATAAAAAATGTTTAGAAATAAAAATGATAGCATCTCTGACGCATAATGTGCCTTTAACTTTTGGGATGCCAATCAACATATAACAAGCAATTATCATAGAATTGCAAGCAATCCATAAGTCCCCAACCGGTAAGAACCCCAGCAACATTCTGAAGGGCCATTGGTTATTCACTAATGTTTCAATTGTTCTCTATTTTAAGTAAATTTGTTGGAAAAACTCTTTAAAAGTGATCACAGGAAACAGTTTTATGAACAGACAGACAGACGGACTGAAGGACACTCTTTGAAAAATCCCTGTTACCAAAATATAACATTTTTAAAAGCAAAATTCTTAAAGAGGAGATAACTCTTGAATTAATTATGTTAAAGATGCAATTTCATAAAAAATTTCAGCTCTTTTTGACTAATCACAAATATTGTTATATTTGCCATGTTTTAAGCCTATTTGTTGCCATGGCAACCTTTTTTTTTCAAAATAGGAAGAAAAGATAAAGACATGCATAATCTCCAGACTGCCCCATATGTCAAGTTTCATAAAAAATATTTCCAGTACTTTTTGAGTTATCACTGGATTCAGTTTATGTGTAAAATTTGCGATATTTTCAACATAGGAAGAAAAGAAAATGACGTGCATAATCTCCATACTGCCGCCTATCCATATATCAAGTTTCATAAAAATATTTTCAGTACTTTTGGTGTTATCGCGGGATCCAGTTTTGTGACAGACGGACGGAGGGTAAACCTAAAGTCCCCTCCGGTAAACCGGTAGGGGACTAAAAAGTCATAAAGTTAATTTCATTTTAGTTTCATATCTTAGATATCATGGGACTTTTGAATCATAATCTTTCTAAATGCATGTAGTCATATTGCTTTTGCAACTGATGGGCTTATGAACATTTTACTAAATCAGCTGGGAGGTACTCTCTCTACTCCAATTCAAGCTGCACCGACCAAGCTTTACGATACATACGCCGACTAATAAATAGTCTTTAAATGTTCATTTGATTTTCATATATTTCATCTTATCATATTTACAAGTTGAAAAGTGGAATCATTTATGAAAATATAACAAACACATCCATAATTATGAAGCCTGATTATTTAAGACACATACTAGTATACAAAAAGATATATAAAATGTAAACAAACATTTAGACTTTTAACACAAGCTTGTCTTTCTAATAAACAGTTAAATCTATGCCAAATCCATATTTTAGTATGCATCAAGATTAAATCATAAATAAAATTTCATTCGAATTTGATAAAAGGATGGTACTCTACAATTTTAAGGATAATTGATCCTTTATGCATGTATGCGAGCCGCCATATTGATATTCTTTTCAAATAATGACATAACATGGGGAAACAAGCTCTCATGTGATAAAATGGGATAAGAGTTGCTTCAAATTACTATGTTAACATAAACGGTTAATTAGTTACGGTTCGTAATTCTTGAAATTAGCATTCTCAAGATGTACAAACTTTTTAATCATATTCAATATTTCAGGCTGAAAATGTGAAAATTTACTCTTGAATTGATCTGATTGTGACCGAGAGATAAATTATAAGACATAATGAACTGACAAAGTATGCAATATATATATATAAAGCACGAAATTAAACGACAAAGTATAAGGTATAACATGATGTGTATATAACATACAAATGATAATTTTGATATAAGTATAACAAATCGTTGCATTCTCCTTCTTCTCTTCGTTTTCTTATTATTCTTCTTCGTTTTCTTTTTCTTCTTCTTCTTCTTCTTCTTCATTTACACAGTAATTATATACACATAAACTTCAACTTGCTTCCATTATGTAAATAGATGATTTATAACAACAAGTAATTTGTTTAAATCCGTGTAAGAAGCTAGTTTTAGTCAAATATTTTAGTTTTATATGAAAACATAAATATTCAAAAAGCAGCACTCATACAAGAAATTAATTATATAAAGATACACATAAACTAATTCAATCAAATTAAGTTCAAATATATAGCATATATCATATATGATAACATACCAGTACATACAGTGACACAGAGTAACTTTATAAAGCAATTTCACAAATAAAAATACATTGAATACAAGCAGTGCATGGTACAACATATCATAATTATATTACAGAATCAAGTTGTTAAAGAGAATATATATAATATGATCCATTTTATTCATGTACCAGCTTTATTTACTAGAACTCCGCGAGTCGGATGTGTCGCCTTGTGAACAATGTAGTTTAGGGGAAATGGCCAGGACAAAAATGAAATATGAAAAATAACAAAGGGCAATAACTAAAAAAATAATAAGTGCAGAGCAGCAGTTTCTGTGCACTGCACTTCTTATCAATAAGATCTATCATTCTATGATGTTTCAAGTCCATAGCTTTCATACTTGAGGAGAAATGACCAGGACAAAAATAAAGTAAGAAAATCAACAAAGGGCAATAACTCAAAAATAAGAAATGCAGAGTATCAGTTCTTATGCACTGCACTTCTTTTTAATGAGATCTATCATCCTATGAAGTTTCAAGTCCATAACTTTTATACTTTCGGAGAAATGGCCCGGACAAAAATTTAGTATGAAAATAAACAAAGGGCAATAACTCAAAAATTAAGAAATGCAGAGTACAGATTCTTGTGCACTGCACTTCTTCTTAATGAGACCTATCATCCTATGAAGTTTAAAGTCCATTGCTTTTATACATTAGGAGAAATGGCCCGGACAAAAATAAAGTATCAAAATTAACAAAGGGCAATAACTCAAAAATTAGGAAGTGCAGAGTACTGGTTCTTGTGCACTGCATTTCTTCTTAATGAGATCTATCATCCTATGAAGTTTCAAGTCCATAGCTTTTTTAGTTGAAGAGAAATGGCCCGGACAAAATTAAAGTATGAAAATTAACAAAGGGCAATAACTCAAAAAATAAGAACTGCAGAGTACCGGTCCTTGTGCACTGCACTTCGGGTTATTGAAAGAAGCATGCATACCAAGTTTGAAGTCAATCAGACTTATAGTGACTGAGTTATGCTCCGGACAAGCTTTAGGGGACGCCGACGCCGACAACGACGCCGACAACGACAACGACGCCGACACAGACGCCGCCGCCGACACCGCCGACAAAAGTAAACCCTATATGTCACCTTTTCAAGGCGACACAATAACATAAATATACTGAAACAAAAAAAAACTTTCGCCAAATATGAATGTAGATATGTTAGTACAGTTTTTCAATCTTTTTGGATGAAAGCATACACTTTTGTAAAATAATGTATTGTGTTTCTTTTAAAATCGTCATTTTGGTGGAAAGGATCAGATTGATTATTGAATTTTGAATTAAAATAAGGTAGGGGTCGTTTTTTTGTTAACAATCAGTAGCGTGTGTGACCGCCGTGTGCGATGCTGACTGCCTGACAGCGACGTCGCATTGAGAGCACAAGTTCGTTAACGCCAGCCTGTGGAATATTTTTCCATTCTTGAAGCAATGCTGCCCGAAGGTCGTTGACGTTGTTTGGAGGGTTCGGACGTCGACGTACGCATCTATCCAGATTATCCCAAAGATGTTCAATTGGGTTCAAATCCGGACTTTTGAGGGCCGTCGTCGATGAAATCAACGTTATGATTTTGTAAATACTGTATATTGACACGAGCAACATGGGATGTGGCATTATCCTGTTGTAAAGTCGTTATTACGTTATGGGTCTGAAGCAGAGGGACAACATAAGGGCCTAAAATGTCTTCCCTGTATTTTTGGGCATTTAAATTGCCATCAGGGTCAACGACGAGCGGGGTTCGATACCCGTAGGCAATACACCATAACTGAGCACCCACCACCAAAACGATCCCGTTGCAGTACGCAGCAGTCGGCATAACGTTCATTCTTGCGACGGTATAATCGTACACGGCCATCAGCTCGAGACAATGCAAACCTTGACTCATCAGTAAAAAGAATTGTCCGCCAACGCTATCTTGTCCAAGGGCCCATTGCTCTCTATTATTGCGATGGCGGCGCGTCAAAACCAAACCGACGTACGGACAACGTCCGTGCAAACCGCTCTCGGCTAAACGATTCCTTACTGTCTGGCTGGGCGGAAATACGTTTGTTGTGAGTACCGGGGAAGTACAGAAGCTGTAGCTGTCGCTCTTCGAAAGCGATCGCGCAGGTGATGGTTCAAGATATAGCGGTCTTTAGCTCGAAACGTTACGCGCGGTCTACCGCTCCGCGGCAAGTCCCTTGTACTCCCGGTCTGTGCAAATCGCCGCCGAAGGCTTCGGATTGATTGCACGGATGCACCAACACGAGCTTCAACCTCCGCAGTTGTGCACCCAGCTTCAAGCATGCTTAATGCCCTCTCACGTAAATTTTCGGGAATTCTTGGCATTGAAATTTCAATACAAAACTTCAATCAAAAACGTTTTTCGATTTTTTTCTACAGCTTTACGACTATAGCAATATTTTGGTAAAGACTAATATGCACCACGTGGAGCGGATATGCCCATCCCTTACGCGCACATGAAACTCGATTTATACGTTGAATAAACATATCGGGCTTTTATACGGGGATTAGCTGACCGATTTTGCAAACAAAACGAGTTTTACAAGCTACTACATGTTAATAAGTGTGTACATCTAAGTGGTACCCTTGAACAACTGGCACATACTTTGCGAAAGTTTCATTTTGGTTCAGTATATATCGCTTCTGGAAATTTTATTATGTTTTGCACTGATGAAGCTTAAAGCATATAGCCGAAACGTATGCAATAAATAATTACTAAATGTTCGTGTTCGTGTGACTTGTCTGTTTATTATGTATGTATATTACACTTCTAACAGGATATCGCTGTTAATCGCACACAAATGGAAAACGTCTCAAATACCAATGTACCTTATATTATACAAAATTTCTCATACACGTTGGGGCTCCAAAATACAACTTCAAGTCTTATTGCAATATAATATACCAATGTTGCTCTCCTTTCATTCTCATTTATGATAATCAGTTGTTTTATCAAGCAAGTAATTTGTACATGTATGCCATTCCTTAAAAACACTCCATAAACAGAAACATAAGCCGAATCAATTGCTGATGGCTTTTGTTAAAATTGTCCTTGTATGTTGATATCAAATTTCACCAATTTAGACATTTATTCTTTGTCCGGAGTGATGATTTTATGGAACACTGATGTCACTTAGCGGATTGAAGTATAGATGCATGTCTTCCATTAATATTTTATCTGAGGAACGAAACCACAATTCAATTTGAAAGAAAATTTATTCATCTGTTTCACGGGTCTGCTTTAATTGTAGATATTGATGTGATATTGATTCCTTTCTATTCATGTGTTTGTAATCTGTTCTTGATTGTATATGTTTGTATTTAACTTCACACGATCGTTTATCATAAATGTGTCTTTCCTCATTTCTATATGGAACAAATATGTATGGTTTGTAATAACACCATTTTCATTCAGAATTCACATTAAACTTTGTCAACAAACATTTATTATCATTATGATTATTATAAAAACCAAAATGATCTGGTCACTTAAATTTTTTTTCAAGATAGAAAACGTTCAAACAAGATTTACTGGTTGTGTTCTGAAGACGAAATGTTTGTACGCAACCTCACAATAATGTACAGTCAGTGCATCCCATTTTAAATTGAATAACCAGGAATATGTTTCAAAAACCACTTTGCGACTCTCTGTAATACAGACTTGCTGTCCATAGGCCGTTTTTCCTTTTTCTTTTCGCTGCAGGTCTCTCCGAGTTCTACATCAGCAACTCTTTTGAATACTTCGACTTCTTTGTGAACTTCAGCATCTTTACGAAACTCGTTTAAAACCTCTATTCTCTTTATGTACCCTTCTCTTTTTGTCAGTTTTTCGTTTTCAATCATAAGGTCAATATGTTCCGTCATTGTTAATGGGTTTGTTTTAAGTGCTATGTCTTGTAATTTATCATTGCAAAATTTTACAAGAAGCATCATGTCTTCTATATTGTTTGTTAATTCCTGAAGTCGAGCTGCATTCTTAGCTACCATTTCTTCATGGCTTTTTGCTTTTCCGCTGGCGTCATTGTACTTATCTTTCAATTCATTTAGCGTTTTCATTACCTTTCTTGTCCCATGGGTGTGAGTGAATGCATCATTCTTATGTGCTGTCCACTCACACTTATCTGGGCATATTCTGCATTTACCGTTACCGTCCATAGCCCAACAGAACCGTTTTTCTTCGTTGTCTTCAAAAACACAGTGCGGGTGGCATTTCACATAACAGTTATCACACTTTGTGTTATGGACTCGACCTGGAATTAATGTCTTGATTTCGATTGGCTCTGTTACTTCAACCTCGTAATTTTTGTTTGCTTCCATTGCCGTTTTGTGTTGCTGTAATACATTCTTTTCGCTCTTCAATACCTCAACCATCTGTAGCCCAGCATCGAGATTATCTTTCATCGCATTCACTATAGCTTCTAATCGATATCTTTCAAGCAAGACATCCTTTGTCAGCTGAAGACTTTGAGGAATCATCTGCCCTAGATGGTTAAAAAATGCACAGAAGCTTGCCAAACCTATGTTCCAAAACATTGGAGATAAGCTTTGATTTTCCATGCCGGAGTTTGTAGCAAATAATGCCGAATTGTTAAACGTAAAGTTTTTTCCAAAAGGCATTTCTGACTCTTTCAGCGCAGCTAAAACTGGCGGGTCACTTCCGTCTGCAAATGTAATTAATGAACAGATATTCTTCTCAATATCTTTACCAAACAAGGACATGATTGACTGGAATATATAGCTTTGAATTGCAGTAAGTCGTGCGTCAGGTGCTTTGATAAGAAAACATACTGCATTGATGCACGATACTCCCTTCGGTCCAGTGTCTGAAAAAAGCTGGCGGATTTGACCAACAATTTCTTGATCCCTCTTTAGTCCTCTCGTATCTCCAAACCCCGGTGTATCAATTATATGCAACTGGTATGATAGCCGACTTCCTTCTTCAGGGTTGATAGTGTAGCATGTAATCCATTCTGTTTGAGATACAGCCTACGATTTGGGAAAATAAGATAATATTCAATGTAAAACACGTTGAAACGCAAGTCTATGTATAGATAAAATCAAGTGCCTTTTAATGACATAATATTTATCTAGGTCATTATATCAAAGTTAAATGTATCTTCATCATACAAATACAGCTTTGAAACAATTAGGTTTGTTTTTCAGCGCAGTAAGCAATTATGGGTGATAGATATGTGTATGTTTGCATTGATTACATATTTTCGTATTTACCTGATTTTGAATGCGACCTTTCTCTTCAGCCTCTAAGTCAATAATCGTATACCTGAAAGGATCTTCCCATGTTACACCTAACAAATAGTTTATGATACCATCAACAAACGTACTTTTTCCAGTTCCAGTAGCACCCACCAACATTATTGTTTTCGATTCAACGTACCTACGCGGTCGTGTACCTTAAATGTAAATATTCTTATATTTTCATGTTACTTAAATCATTCTTTTTGGCTAAAAAATAATGAAAAATAATGAAAGAGCTTAGAAAGACGTAATGAACTTAAAATTTCTGAAAATATTTGTTGTTCAAGACCAATATTCTCACCGATTTCAAACTTTCTGGTCTTTGCTTTTTCATTTCGAGCAGCAATATTTTCTTTGATTGGTAAGGCATACTTGTTTGGAGAGTTACCACTTGTCACTTGTATTGATGTTCTCAACATTTTTGTCGCAAGCGAAGCAGCTGTACGAATTTCTTCACTTTCTAGACTGAATGGGCTCTCTTCTCCATTCCCATATATTACTCTAACCCGAAAAACGTATGTAGCATTCGATTTCAAGCCAGTTATATTAGTAGAAGCTTCATAAATTTCTTCATGGTACGTTCTCCATCTTTGATTACTGCTCATGTCTTTTAAGGAAATTTGATAACAAGATTTATCCCCAAAATTTGTGGCACGGTCCCATGCTAAGAAAACTGAGTCAGGAAATACTTGGACAGCGTGAGGTTTACCAGGAACATTCTGAAATTCATTTATTTTTACAAAACACATTAATGCAATACTGTGATAAAATGTTTGATTTAATTACTAAAAAGTAATCTAAACGACCATGGGTATTAGATACATTAAGAAAATAATTTTTATTTGTTTGAAAATTACTTATAATACAGTAAATCATAAATAATAATTCGTGTACAGCTTCCAAAAACGAGATATATTGCAATGTAACAATAGATTTATATTCTCAAATTTATAAATTAAATAGTATCATTTTGACGAGAGAATATAAGTAAACTCGTTATATATAGTTATAAGTATGATCTTTTATAACCCCTTTTCCTAAACAAATACGTGTTATAACATCAATAATGTCGGTGTGATCTAAACGACTTTTGACAAAAAAATATTAGTAATTATATTGTTAAATGATTTTTAAACACATTATATATACTTATATCCATTTCATTATAATAATAGATTATTTTGATACAGCATGTATTTGACACATACATGTAGATTAGTTAGATGCCATTGTTATTGTATATATATTTTACTTGAAAGTCTCAAAGAACGTTTTCTGAGACAATTTTTGCAACTTAAAGATGACTCCTTACTTTAATAACGGCAAACAGGCTACACTTCATAATGTATTGCTTTTTGAATTAATTTATATTCATGAAAATTTGATTCTGAAAATACTTCTATACCTTTCCGTTTTCGTCTGCCATTGTTTTGTGATCTTTTCCCATTTCAGCCGCCAAAATCTCGTGCTTTTTTGTTGCTTTCATCTTTTTGTGAGATTTTACACATTCTTCACACAAAAACTCCTCACATTCAGGACAATAACTGCTTGCCAATGATTCCCCGTCACATGGATCGCATTTATAAACATCAATGGTTTCTTCAATCTGCAATTATCATTATTTATCAAAACATGGGTCGATATTGTGCCAAGTGCCAATTATTCATGTGTCTATAGAACTTTTTACGACGCGGTCCGTTGCTATGAAAAATGGATCGGAAGTAGTATTTTCTCGCACATGCGCAATCTGGGTAGGGCAAAAGAGCATCGCCCTACATAGAAGAATAGTAATTATAGTATGTAATTTCATAGAAAATAACGAGACAGTTTAAGGTAAAAAGTAGAAAATTATATAAAAATAGCTTTTAAAAAACATAAAAGATGCCTTTATAGCTTTGTGGCCAAGTTTGCCATAAAAGGCAGTTCAAGCTATCCACCTTACGATCACTGATCTGACATTGACATTTACACAGTTGTAAAAATGTGAAAAAATGTCTATTAGCTAATAAAAAGGTCAACATAATTGTTGTTGAAATAGTTCATATAAAAACCAAAGAAATTTTAATAGAATATGAAAACGAGGTTAATTATCATTCTGAAAAAAAGGATGAACACGTGCATGATAATGCATTTTAAGTTTTCAGTTTACCTGATTTTATCCTTTATCTGATTAATGACAAATAGAAAATTTTCAAGTAACATAAATATATTTACATATTTTTTCAAAATATATAGAAATTAAGAAGGGTAATTGGCAGTAAAATAACACACCTTTTATCATCTGGTTCCTCGTATACATTTAACATGCACGTCACACTATTTGTCACTTCACAAAATCAATAAGCATTGGTAAGATTAGTATATGTGAACGTTACTTTAATACGATTTTCATAATTTTGCGTGATTAGCTATATCATGGAACTGAAACGTCCCGATTGAATGGTATTGTAAATTAGCAGGGGAAAATACAACAGCGGTCACTTGTCAATCTGTTTGGCACTTACCGCCTTGCCAAACCACTTATCTAAAAGAAGTGTACAATACAAATTGTGCAATATAATGTAATACAAGGGTAAATATAATAAAATTTAATATTTAACACCCTGTTGTTTCAATTTAAATTTCTGATTGAAAAATCGTCTAATGAGATGCGTTTTTTTTTCATTTAATTATTATACGGATTGATCATAACTAGTAAATAACCCCAATTGATTTTGGAGTCAGTAGGTCACAGGTCAATGTAGCAAGGACCTTAAATGACCAAATGGTTTCCACTCAATATCTCGAAAAGTATTGATCACAGTCTTCATATTTCACATATTGATTGGTTATAACCAGTAGATGACTCCCACTGATTAAAGGGTAACTAGATAAAAGGTTAAGGTCACGGGGCCTTAAATGTCAGAATGGTTTTCACTCATTACTTGAAAACTGTTTGTCACTAGGTTGTTTATTTCAGATATTGATTGGTTATAACTAGCAAATGACCCCTATCTATTACGAGGTCTTTAGGGCAAAGGTCAATGTCACAGGGACCTAAATTTTCGGAATGGTTTCACTCATCATCTTCAAAACTACTTGTTATCATGTCTTTGTGTTTCACATTTTAATTCATCATCACTTGTGGATAATTTTGAGGTCACTAGGTCAAACGTCAAAGAGGTCACTAGGTCAAACGTCAAAGTCACAATAACATTGAATGTAATAATGGTTTCCACTTATTCACTTGACACCAATTAGTTACCAAGTCTTCATATTTCACATATTGCTTGGTCATGACTAATAAACGACCTTTTTTGATTTTGGGGTCACTAGGTCACAGGTCAAGGTAACAGGAGCCTTATATGCCGGAATGGTTTCCGTTCATTATCTTAAAAACTATCTATCTCACAAAGTTTTCATATTTCACATACTGATTAGTCATAACTAGAAAATGATCTTTATTGATTTTAGGGTTACTAGATCAAAAGTCATACTTACAGTAACCTCAAATATAAAAGTCGTCTCCGATTAATGACAATTGAATAGCAAGTCTCACAAATGTCAAAGTTGGTTTTTGGCATGTTTCTTTAACACAATTACCAACAGTATGAGTGATGTGCTAGAGAGGGGGACAAATGTGTCGTTTCTTCATACTTCATGATGTTGTTATTATTCGTAGTCAAATACTTTTTTCTTGGGTCCTTTTCTTAAACATCCATAAAATATTTCATGAATAGTAGAGGAACATTTGTTATTTACCCTTCAATTGCGGTTTTTTATATTGTCTTACTTTTAAATAATTAAATATTGTTCATTCTATAGTTTTGAAAGAAAAATGCATTTGTATTACTCATATATAATCGTATGATTAAAGTTTAACTGGATTCGCACTTTTCAAAAATAGTTCCCTTTTTACGTCACAAACAAATAGTTTCTTATATAAATTGGTTACAGCAGAGTTTGCAATATACTGACATTTATTCATTTCCTGTAATCGAATTAACATTTGTCTTGAAAATACTAGTATGACGAAACACAATATAACGTTTGTTCCTTTATTTCTTTTTCGAAATAATTTGATAATTTGATGAGAATCAAAATAAGAGAAAAAATAATCAGTAAATTCTAAATGTGATCTATAATTAGATGGTGTTCGTCATTGACCAGGCTGTCAGTATATTTTCACTGTTTAGGGAGTGAATACTTTTTTGCCCTTGCCATTTGTAAGTTTCTGTATAGATTTAAAGTTAATGCAATAATAATTTGTACCATGTGCCGAAAATGTTCTTAAAGTTGGCCAGGTAAAGTGACCCCATAGATTCATCCCTTGTATAATATACCAGAACATAAAAGGAAAATTAATAAAGAAAATAGATGTATTTTTTTCTTCAAGTTAAATCATGACTATATTCCAAACTATCAAATGTGGAAACTGTAATGGACTAACTTGATATAGTTTAGACTGTGTTTGTTGAGTTTATTAGAAAAACGCCAAAATAAATTTACTTCTTGTCGATAATTTATACTACTTTTATAGCAACTCAAACAATGTTAAGTTATATTTTTCGTATAATAGATTGATAAAATAAGAGTTAATATTACTAAGGAGATTGGTATTTTTAAATTTATCCAAGTCAAATTTTAAAAGAAGCGGAGAATGGAAGTGTTTGTCTCTCTCAATCCAGGGAAGTAGTATTGGGGTCTCTTTGGAGGCAAACAAAGATTACGTAATCGTTGCTATTTTAGTAAAGGGTGGCCATTTTTTTGTTACTATTTATAGTTAATCATTTGAATATGAGAAATGTTGGAAGTGAGCATGCGTTGCGTCATATTGGATTCTTTTTATGCCCCCGGGCATATAGTAATTGAACCGCCCGTACGTCCGTCTGTCCGAGCAAACATTTTGGTTAAGGGCCAATTTCAGTAAAGAGAACAAAAGAGAACAATAGGTTCATTACGTGATCAAAGGGTTTAAGGGCTAGTTGCCATTAAGAAAACAAAGATAATAACTAAGAAAATAGCCCGTAAACCCAAAATGTTGGAACGTCCGTCCGTCCGAGCAAATATTTTGGGTTTAGGGGCTATATAACAGTAAAAAGAACAAAAGAGAACAATAGGTTCATTCCGTGATCAAAGGGTTTAGGGGCTAGTAGCCCTTAAGTTAACAA